GCCTGGTTCAGTGGACTCCTTCCTTCCAGGAGTCCCAGTCCAGGGGGTCAGTCTCCCTTCAGAATTTTCACCTTCCTTATAATCTAGTCTCTTTAAATCATCTTTTAATTACACAGGATACACGAATATCTGCTTGCTGTAAAAAGTTAAAATCCCACCAGGGGTTCCCTGGTGGTCAAGTGGTTAGGATCCCAGGCTTTCACTGCCACGGCCTGGGTTCAGTCCCTGGTTAGGGAACTGAGATCCCAAAAGCTGCACAGCGAGGCCAAAAAAAATAAATAAATTTTAAAAAAGAATAAATAAAATACCACAACTAGAGATTATCATACTAAGTGAAGTAAATCAGAAGGAGAAGAACAAATACCATATGATATCACTTATATGTTGAATCTAAAATAGGGCACAAACAAACCTATATATGAAACAGACTCAAGAGAATAGACTTGTCCTCCAAGGGGGAGGGCAGGTGGCAGAGGGGTGGACTGGGAGTTTGGGGTTAGTAGATGCAAACTATTACATATAGAATGGATAAACAACAAGGTCCTACTGGATAGCACAGGGAACTATATTCAATATCCTGGGATAAACCATAATGGAAAAGAATATAAAAAAGAATATAAAAAAGAATGTATGTATAACTGAGTCACTTTGCTGTACAGCAGAAATTAACACAACATTGTAAATCAAGTATATTTCAATAAAAAGGTGAAATTAAAAAAAAATTTCAAACTATACAGAGTTATATAGCCCAGAGTGTCTCCAACTTCAGTAGAGATACAAATCCTCTTGGGGATCTTGTTAAAAGCGGGTGCTGACTCATTGAGTCACTGCATTAAAAATTTTTTTTTTTTGCGGTACGCGGGCCTCTCACTGTTGTGGCCTCTCCCGTTGCGGAGCACAGGCTCCGGACGCGCAGGCTCAGTGGCCATGGCTCACGGGCCTAGCCGCTCCGCGGCATGTGGGATCTTCCCGGACCGGGGCATGAACCCGTGTCCCCTGCATTGGCAGGTGGACTCTCAACCACTGCGCCACAAGGGAAGCACTAGTCACTGCATTTTTAAGGAGACTTTTTTGACTAAAGAGAAAGAGCAACAATTGATAATGTCCTTTAATCCCTTGCAATCCTGTTTCCTTTTTAGGGGGGGTTGATAGACATCATTCCTTGCCTCTCTCTATGTACTTCTGTGCCATTTGATAGCCCTGACTTAATCCCATCCTTGGCCTGGGGCTGGGGATGCTCTCTGAGGTCCATTTCATAGCAGTGGGGTGCAGGGCCTTCTCTACAGCCCCCTGTATTGCTCCACAAACTATTGTTGCCAAGCTTAATGGGTCTTTGTTGAATTGAATTTAGTTCATGCAACAATCCAAACAACTTGGTCATTGTTTCAGTTGGTTGAGGACCCTCTGGCTCTGGATTTTTCCCCAACATGTGCAGGATGAGCCACCCAATCACTAATGAAATGGAGAACAGGGCAAAGCCAGAGCCCCACACAATTCTACTCAAGACCATTGGTCAACTGATCTCATCAGTTGACCTCATCATTAACTGATTAATCAGCATTCTACTTTCCCTGCAGTCATCCAACAGTTAAGAGTATATATAACACAGCCCCTATGGAGGTGACCCATTAACTAATGCTGCATGAGAAATTATTCCAAAACTTAATAGCTTAAAACAACACGTTTAGTATCTCAGTTTCTGTGGGTTAAGATTTCAGGTGCAGGTTTGCTGCGTCCTCTGGCTCAGGGTCTCTCACAAGGCTGCAATCAAGGTGTTGGCCAGGGCTGCAGTTTGGGGAGGATTCACTTCCAAGCTCACTCACATGGTTCTTGCAGGATTTAGTTCCTTTTTTTTTTTTTTTTTAATTTATTTGGCTTTGCCAGGTCTTAGTTGCGGCACGTGGGATCTTCATTGCCGCGTGCGGGATCTTTAGTGCAGCATGCAGGCTCTTCGTTGTGGCATGTGGGATCTAGTTCCCTGACCAGGGATTGAACCTGGGCCCCCTGCATTGGGAGTGCAGAGTCTTAACCACTGCACAACCAGGGAAGTCTCAGTTCCTCATTGAATTGTTGCTCTGCGGGCTGCACTTCCTTGTTGGCTGTTGGCCAGAGGCTGCCTTCAGTCCCTTGCCACATGGGTTGCTTCATAGGGCAGCACACAACATGGTAGCTTCTTTCATTAGAAAAAGCAAGAAAAAATTTAAATCTCTAAAAATTGAATCAAAATGGAAAAAAAATGGACTCAATTCTGTATTGAGTTGTTGGCTGAACTACACAGAAAGAAATTATTTCAAATGACTTTAAAGCACAATTTGATTTTTCATCCCTAGTGCAATGTATCCTAAGGACAAAAAGAACCACAGAAAAATTTTTAACAGTGTTTAATAATCACATCATTGGTAATACTGATATTTTTATTCTGAAACTATTATCTATATATTTAATGATAAAGCAAATAAGTAGTGAATGTTGTGAAGTCCTTAGATTTTCAGGTAAGATAAAAGAAGCTAAGTAAAAACTCTGTAACCTTAAAAATGAATGGAAGTTAGTGTAAATCCATGATACATTTTTCTCTTAAAAAATTTATTTTCTGAGCTTCCCTGGTGGTGCAATTGTTAAGAATCCACCTGCCAATGCAGGGGACACGGGTTCGAGCCCCGCTCTGGGAAGATCCCATATGCCGTGGAGCAACTAAGCCCGTGTGCCACAACTACTGAGCCTGCACTCTAGAGCCCGCGAGCCACAACTCCTGAAGCCCACGCACCTAGAGCCTGTGCTCTGCAACAAGAGAAGCCACCACACTGAGAAGCCCGTGCACTGCGACGAAGAGTAGACCCCGCTTGCCGCAACTACAGAAAGCCCGCGTGCAGCAACGAAGACCCAACGGAGCCAAAAATAAATAAATAAATAAATAAATTTAAAAAAGATAAAAGACACTATACACAGTAAAGAAAGAAAAGGTACACACGCTTCAAGTGTTTTTTTTTTTTTCGGTACGCGGGCCTCTCACTGTTGTGGCCTCTCCCGTTGCGGGGCACAGGCTCCGGACGCGCAGGCTCAGTGGCCATGGCTCACGGGCCTAGCCGCTCCGCGGCATGTGGGATCTTCCCGGACCGGGGCACGAACCTGTATCCCCTGCATCAGGCAGGCGGACTCTCAACCACTGCGTCATCAGGGAAGCCCTCAAGTGTTGTTTTGATGTTGGGATTCATCTTGGCAGTCTCAGGTGATGATGATTCTTGATTCTTCAGGATGATCTATTGCAGCTCACAGACCTGGATGGAAGTTTCCTCAGGTCAAGGAGAACTGTTTTTTTTGTTGTTGTTGCTGGGGGAGGCAGAAACGTAGGCAATGCTGGGCACTGAGATTTAGAAGAGTAGCTATACGTTTTCTTGGTTTTTGTAGGATCCCTCTGGGGTGGCTTCCTGCAGGAGACGGAATTTCCAGAGTTAGGAAATAGGGTTTCCAGAGTTAATCCTACCGTTCCTGCGCACGGGCTTTCTCTAGTTGCGCTGAGAGGGGGCTACTCTTCGTTGCAGTGTGCGGGCTTCTCAGTGTGGTGGCTTCTCTTGTTGCGGAGCACGGGCTCTAGGTGTGTGGGCTTCACTAGTTGTGGCTCGCGGGCTCTAGAGCACAGGCTCAGTACTTGTGGCGCACAAGCTGAGTTGCTCCACGACATGTGGCATCTTCCCGGACCAGGCATCGAACCTGTGTGCCCTGCATTGGCAGGTGGATTCCTAACCACTGTGCCACCAGGGAAGTCCCAGGGAGCTAGTCTTGAGTGAGCATGGCAATTCTATTCAATAAGCAAGAGAGAAGCTTATATTTCTTGTTCAGCCTGCTACTAGCAGTCATTACAGGAAAGATGAAGAACATAAGGGGCATTACAGTCTCTCAGGGGAGGCACTTATGAAATAATCTGCTAGCAAGATAAACCCACAATCCCGTTCAACTTGACAGAATGAGGGAGTGCCTTGGGGGTACAGAGCCATGGGTCATTCCAGGCATGGGCAACCTATGGGAGAAGAGACGCTTGGATGGACCTTTGGTCAGTATCTCAGGGCTGGAGGTGACCATGTTCTCACCCCCAAAAAGGTGATAAAATGATTTAAAAAACAAAAAACCAATGATTTAAAAAACAAAAAACCAATCAGACCAAATCCCCAACAACCCAGGCCCTGAGGCGGCCACCAAATCCTTCTATGTCCTCCACTGCACCACAAAGAAAGGGGGTCCAGACTCTCCTTCCAAGAGCCAACCCTACTTCCTGGCTCCCACACCCCCCTCCTTCACTACAGGAGGGTGGCAAAGGATTTATAACCCACCTCTTTCTTCCAGTTGCCATGGAGACCAACCCCAGTCCTTTCATTAGTTCTCGTACTGGGAACATCTCTCTAACGCAGGAGGAATGAAGGGGGCTTAGCCTAAACACGCCAGTGGCAGTGCTGGGGAAGGGGGTGGCGGTCAAACAGAGCGCGGAGGACTGGTGGCCTTGACGGCAGCTGTGGAATCAGGTCGAGGGACAAAGGCTAAATTCAGCCGCGGTTCAAGCCCTTCTGTTTGCCAACGACTGGCGACCAGACCCTGCGGCACACCGCTGGGCTGGAAAAGGGCGCAAGCCGGGAGACGACGAGACGCAGCAGCACGGCGGGGCTCGGGGGCGCGAGGCGGCTTCCGGGAGAGTTCTGAGGCCTGGAGCGCCTACCTGTGCACCCCGGTGGAAGGGGGCGCAGACCCCTCCACCAACGCGTCTATTGGACGGCGCCGCCATCACTCTGTGTTCAGCAACACCGCCTTCTCCTCTGCCCAGCCCGGATCCCCTCCCTTGCCGTCCTCCGCCCCGCCCCGAGCCTTTCATTGGGCGGAGGCGCAGTCGATCCGCCTCGAATCAGGCAGCCGATTGGACAAGAGGCCTTCGGGCCGCCCCCAGCTTGTTTGGATTGGCTTGCTGCGTGTTGGCGCAACGGAAGAGGCGGCCTGCCGAGGGTGTTCTTCTGCTCTGGCTGGATTGCCGCGGAGGAGGCGACGAGGGCACTGGCGTTGGGGGCTGGCTCGGTCGGCAGCGGTTCCTCCTGCGGATGGGAGCGGGCCGGCTCGGCGCGCCCATGGAGCGCCACTGGGGGGTCGCCGCCACCTCCGCCTCGTCGGTCCGGGAGCCGGCGCCCGGCGGCCCCGATGGGCGGCGGCGGGAGCCACTGCGGCGCCGGGCGAACAGCGCGTCGGCTCCCGCCGTCGGGGCCTCGGCTTCGGCGGAGGGCGTAAGGCGGGACCGGCCCGGCTCTTACAGCGGCGCTACGTCGGCCTCCCGTCAGCGCGTCGAAAGCCTCAGGAAGAAGCGGCCGCGTAAGTGCCCGGCGGGCCGCCCTAGCGTTTCGCCCTGCCCCCTTCCGGTCGCCGTTTTTCCCGCGCGGAGACAGTGCCCCCGCTCGGTGGTCCCAGGTTGGTGCTGGGCTGACATCTGGCTGGAGGCCTCGGGTCCCCCAACGCCGGAGGCTGCGTGTTCGGCCCCGTCCGGCCTCGCGCGTCTGCTTCTCGGTTGTCCGAGTGTAGCGTCCGTACCCAGGACCTTTTCTCCCTCCCGGTTCTTAGTTCCTTGTGCATTCTTCGGCCGAGAATCGCATTATTTTTTTCCTCGGGAAGACTTCTTTTGACCCATTTTCACCACCTCCCCTCCCCCCTCAAGTCGTTTGAATCCCCAGTGTCTGTCTTCCGTGGATTTCCAGAGCTGCAAGACGTTGCATCCTTTTTACCTGGAGATTTTGGGCTCAAGGAAAATGGTTGAGTTGCTGCAAGCCTAAAACTGGATTCCGTGTTGTGTATACTAAGCTTTGTCTGCTTTTCTTCCCATGAGAATTCGGGTCTTGTCTCACCCAGATTATCGCCTCTATTTTCTTTCCATCTCTTTACTGATACTCACGATTCAGTACTGTAGCACTCTGGGCATTAAGCCTTTCCCTTTTGAGGGAAAACGACTTCTCGCCTTGGCGGTTGCACATGCTCTTCCCAGAGAATCGGTTTTATTATCAGGTTTTATTTTCTGCATTGTGATCTAGTCCAGATATTTTCTTCTCTTTACAGGTCTTCAGTTTGGGTCCTCCTTCAAACAGCCATTGCAACTCTTGAAAGTATCCACTGTCTTGATACTCTAATATGAGTTTTACGATATAATAACATTTTACATGTGGCTATATATTTTTTTTCTTGTCGTTGCCAGATTCCTATTTCAGGAAATCAGCTTGTTTTAAATGTAGATTATGAGAGTAAGAAAGTGGCAGGATGAGTGTGAGGTCGTTTTTTTAAAAATTATTATTTTTTACTTTATTTTTTTATACAGCAGGTCCTTATTGGTCATCAGTTTTATACACATCAGTGTATACATGTCAATCCCAATCGCCCAATTCATCACAACCCCCACCCCCACCCCCCCGGGTGTGAGGTCTTTATTGGATAGTCTTGTACCTCAGCCCAACAACCCAGTTGCTTTACTTTTATATGATTTGGATGATTAAATATTAAATACACCCCTATTTTGCTGTGAAAAGTTTGAGAGTTTTAATTCTTCTGTCTTTTCTTATGTTCTTGAAAGAGAATGGGAAAAGAGATGATCTGCTCTCAACCTACACCGTTTTTAGAGCCTGGTTCCTGTTTTGAGAAGCACCTGATTTTTAAGAAATGCAAAACATTAGTTCCTTCGTGGTTTTGTACTGCCTCATTAGAGATGGATGTAAATTCCAGAGATTCAGCAAAAAGAATCACAGCCATATAGCCAGCTCTTCGTGACCACTGGCCATGAAGATTCTAAGTATTGTAATTTCGGTGTTTGCCACCAGTCAGGCACTCTTAAAAATTTTTTTTCATGTACTCTTCTAAGAGCTTTAATAAACTCATTAGTCCTTATAAAAGTCATGAAAAGCTATCTCTTAGATAATGAGAACTAAAGAAATAAATAAGGTATTGTTTTCTTTCCATTTGTTCTTTCTGTACTGTCCAGGGGTATACCTGTTGGAGAGGCAGTGTATTGATTGTGTATTGACCAAAGAATATACTTTGGTCTTAACTTTGAGGGAATTCAATAAAGATTTAATCTTTGTATTTTTTATTGGGAGAGTTGGGTTGGTGCCACCTTTCTTTTGTTAGGAAACCTCATTCTGATATCATTACACTACTTATCTTAAGGTAGGAGACTAGTTGTCATTGGAAACTAGAAGGAGCTGTTCAGTTTATCTTAGGAATTGTGGGCCCTGATTATAGTCATGTTCTGCCACACACGTTCCCTAGAGCAGTGTGATTCCCAAACCTGTCCCCACCTCAGACTTAACACATCATAGTCATTAGGGATGAGGCTAGGCATGTGTGTCTAAGAAGTTCTTCAAAAGTTTTAGATTAGCTGGAGTATGTCTCATAGGTCTGAGAGAAATACCAAATAAAGATTGGTTTAAAATGATGGTAACGATGATGCTTACGTGTTCATGTTAGACACTGTGCCAAATACTTTATAAACATTTAAGTCTTGCAGTTATCCTCTGAGGTGGGTGTTTGTTATACCCAGCTTCCAGATTAGGCAACAGGCTCAGTGAAATTTTCTCTTTCTCCAAGGGCATATAGTGAGTTAGTAATGGAACTGTGTTTTGATTCTAGGTGTCTGACTTCAGACCCGGCGTTTCTTGACTTTCCACATCTTGGAAGGTACATGTGATGTAGTTCAGAGTAGTGGTTCTCACATGGAATCACTCTTCTGAGTGATTAAAAAAAAAAACCCTCAGATCTGCAGAGGGGTCTAAAAACGTGTTTTAATTTTTAAAATTTTATTGAGGGATTATTACATACAGTAAAATGTACAGTTTTTACAAACGTAACAAGAGAACATTACATGCATGTAACATGTAACAAGAGAACATACATTTTAATCTAGGGCCCCAGATGTGCAGGAGGTGTGGGAACTCTGGGATCACAGTGCTTCATGGCAGTGCCGGGGGATGAGCTGGATCTTTGAAGGTGACTCCCAAGCATATTTTAGCACTCCAGGGAAAGCTTGGGGACATGCTGATTTTGGACTCATGCCAATCATGGAATTTCCTTAACCTCCATTAGTCTAGAAAATAAAGCTTTTGTTTGTAGCTTGATAATACTAATCTAGAAAATAGTTAGCTTTTCCTTGGTATTTGGGGCAGCATCAGTGTTGCCAGAATGGAACTGGTGCTGGGAGGTTGCCTTTTATCAGGTGCAGTGTTTCATCTTCAGTTAGGGAATTAGGAAGGGCCGCCCACTGGGAGCTCAAGAAAAAAGTTAGATTTTTATTGCTTTGTAGCCCATTTTTGAGGGACAGAATAGGAGAGGGTGCTTTTAACCTATTGTTTTATCAACTTTAAACCTAAATGAAATAAAAGTAAACACGGCTCCTCTTCTTTGATGAATAATGAATATAAAGCATTAAGCATAACCTAAAAATAATATTATGCAGCTTGTAAAATTAAGTATGTTATTTTAGGGGCTCATGTATGAATTGTGCATTTAGATAGTATGACTGTTGAGTGTTGGGATCACTGCCTTCTGTATATCTGAGGAGACCATTAGCAAGGGGGATGTATGGTATTAAAAATATTTTGCTTAAACACATGTTAAAAGGAGAGATAAGGACCAAGATAAAAGCCTGTAGGTTGTTTGAGAATACCTTATCAGGCAGTCATATAGCAGAATAGCTGTTTTGTCTGGTTATTTAAAAGAGCAGTGAGGTTCCTTGGGCTTAAATTTATAACCTTGGGAGCGCTTTTCAGGTTCATAATTTGTGGTATCTTTATTTTCAGGCACTGTTCTTTCTCAGTTAATATTCTTTTTCAATTTTTGTCAGCAAGGTGGACTAGGATATGAAAACCCTTTATAATGGCTTAAAGTTTGCTTTCTGAAAGTGAAAGCTATCTTGCAGTTTTTAGTAGCATATTAAGTTTTGTATGTTTATATTTCTTTTCTTAAAAAATAAATTTTATTTATTTATTTATGGCTGTGTTTGGTCTTTGTTGCTGTGCGCGGGCTTTCTCTAGTTGCGGTGAGTGGGGGCTACTCTTTCGTTGCGGTGCGTGGGATTCTCACTGTGGTGGCTTCTCTTGTTGCGGAACATGGGCATTAGGCGTGCAGGCTTCAGTAGTTGCAGCACGCGGGCTCAGTAGTTGTAGCGCATGGGCTTAGTTGCTCTGCGGCATGTGGGATCTTCCAGGACCAGGGCTCACACCTGTGTCCCCTGCATTGGCAGGCGGATCCTTAACCACTGCGCCACCAGGGAAGCCCTCTTTATATTTCTTGGATGTAAAATTTATTATTGAGTCTGCTGGTTTTATAGTAGGTAGTATTTTATAAGTATCTGGTCCCTGAGTTAAACTATTTTGGGAATATTTATTGAGGTCTGTCTTTTAAAAAGTATTTATTTATTTATTTGGCTGCACTGGGTCTTTCTTAGTTGCAGCACGCGGGGTCTTTGGTGTCACGTGCGAGCAGGATCTTTTTAGTTGCGGCATGCGGACTTTTTAGTTGTGGCACGTGGGATCTAGTTCCCTGACCAGGGATTGAGCCCGGACCCTCTGCACTGGGAGCTCAGAGTCTTAACCACTGGACCACCAGGGAAGTCCCGAGGTCTGTCTTTTAATATGAGGCCAAAGATCGCTGCCTAGACCAGTCTAGGGATTTGAGTTTGCAGTATTTTAACCACATGTGGTCTGGTGTAAAGATATAATTCATAATGTTGGAAAATTGAGTACACTTTTATAAACCATATATTTCTCATTGGAAAGCATTTCAGTTGTTGAGACCTATTATGAGACAGTGTGCTATTGATGATTTTACATAAATCTGTGAGGGAAATTTAAATTCTTTCTAGAAATGTGTCCTAAGTCAAGTGTACATTGTCTAGGTGGAGTACCTTAGAGGAAATATATCAGGAAATATGCTGAAGGCTGAAAACAGACTAAAATATCTGTGAAAATTAATGGAAAGACTCACTAATCAGAAGTGATAAAATAGGCCTTCTATTAGTGAGATAGGAATGTGAGGGCATAGCAAAAGTTCCTTGACTTTCCATGACTTTTCCTGCCAGAAACACATAGTGGTTTTTTTAAAATTTATTTATTTTTGGCTGCATTGGGTCTTTGTTGCTGTGCGCAGGCTTTCTCTAGTTGCGGTGAGTGGGGGCTACTCTTCGTTGTGGTGCACGGGCTTCTCATTGCGGTGGTTTCTTTTGTTGCTGAGCACGGGCTTCAGTAGTTGTGGCACGCGGGGTAAGAGCGCAGGCTCAGTAGTTGTGGTGCACAGGCTTAGTTGCTCCACGGCATGTGGGGTCTTCCCGGACCAGGGTTCAAACCTGTGTCCCCTCTATTGGCGGGCGGATTCTTAACACTGCGCCACCAGGGAAGTGCCACACATAGTATTTTGAATAAGAATTGGAAGGCTTA